TTCTCGTGACAGCCCATATCCATGATAAAGTGACCAAAACCTGCATTGCCCACCAGCTTGGCTGTTTCTCCCAGGATCTTTTGGTTCAGGTCCGCGTCGGTGGCACAACAAGAAGTGGATGCAAAGTCGCCAAAGAGTTCAAGCCAGGGGTGGGAACACCCGCTGGACTGCTTGGTGGACACGAGTGCCCAGCAAGGTCCTCTCGCCCTCATAGGATCCAATCAGAGCGCGTCTGGGCATGGTCATGATGTCGTGCTCCTCGGCAAAGGTCTGCATGTGCTCACCCATATCCTGTCGGTCTATCTCAAGGTCCTTGAGAATGGGCGTCATTTCGCTAAACTTCTCTTTTAGGTTTGGTAGGGTTTCAATGTCCACTTTCACGCCTGCGAAGAACGTACCCTCTCTCATGCGATGCAAGAGCTGAGTCTGTGACTGCTTCTTCTCGCTGCAGCTGGGAAAGTGCTTGTTTAGAAATGCCTCGATTTCTTGCCAGTTTGCTCTTTTTTTTGTGATACCACTGGCATTCACTGATAGTCTCGACCATCAGTTCTGTGAAACTCACCAGGTATTTCATCTTCTCCTCTGTTCTCTTCTTTCCTCGCTTCATGAGGTTCAAGAACTCGATGGAATGGACTGAGTTTTGATCCGCTCCGGTGCTGGTGAACTTTTTAGCGGTCAACCAACATCGATGACCGTGCCGGTAACAACCGTGAAACTCATAGACAACCTTGGAGTCAGCATCGTACCCACCCAGAGGTAATTGCCTAGGCCTGATTCGCTTCTCCCCTTCGTCGAGACGTGTGCGAAAGTTGGTGATGTCGCGTCCCACCCAAGGCCAGCCACTCGTCCGCTGCACAGCAGGACTTGCTTGGTACCAGCCCGTCTCCACAGGGGTTCCAGGTGGTGAACAGTCCCACAGGCATGGGTTGACTCAATGCTCATAAGTATAAGGCATTGGCGTCATAGCCGATGACTTTTTGCACGGGTTTAGCTGCCTCGCCGTATTGGGTCTCGTGGATCATTGGTCTTGTCTTCCTCCACGTGACGGTGGAAGATGGTGGCGTGTCCACCTACCATGTTATCTTTGAAGAGGTTGCACAGTTCTTCCATGTGAAAACTGGAGAGGTGTAAGCCCTGTTCCTCTAAGAATGACATTTCAAATTTGAAGGCCAGGCCAGGCAGACTGATGGCTTCTTTCAGCATGTCGATACCGTATGGCTCATCTTTTCCAGGGTTTCCAGGAATGGGACCACATCCAGGTTATTATACCAGACCAAAATGTCGCGGAGGGTTTGCATGCCTTTCTCTGCCCAGGCTCTCTGGCAGACGGCGTAATCTTCTTCGCTCAACTCAGTGTTCCTCAACCAGGACTTGAACGCCTCTCATAGTGGTAACTGAGGTTCCTCTAACTAGCTGATCAACTGTACATATTCATATGAGAAGAACCCCTTCTCCCCCTGACACTGGTAGGCTTTGAGAAAAGCAGCATAGCTGGTCCCTGCAGCCACGAAGTTGGAGATATCCACAAACTTGAGGGCGCTAGTTCTGAGGGCCAGGTAGGCGTGGTTGCGCTTGATGGCCAGATTGATGCCAGAGTGGTTGACCAGGTAGGGAATCAGGATGTCTTTCAGCACATTCAGATCGTATTTGCCAGAGTTGAAGCCAACGACCACCAGTTTGGTGACATGGCGGCACAAATCGGTCAGAAGCCATTTGGTTTTTCTCAGTTGATGGTTCGGTGGTTCGTCAGGAGAAGCTGGCGAAGACAATGACTTGATGTTCTCCCAACTCGAGGTCGACTCATCGGTAAAATGAAAGACCTTTCTCTACGTCGTCATCGATGAAGGCTCAATCTTCTTCCGTCTCTTCCTCATCATCACTTTCGTCATCACTGTCATTGTTGAAGCCAGTACTCTGCCCAATCTCCTCCTCACTCTCCTCCGATGTGCTCGCTGGTGAAGGTGGTGGTGGTTGAGACACGGCTCCCAAGGTTTCCTGTGGTTTAGGAGTGGAGTAAAGCGTGGCAGCTCCATCTAGCTGACTTTCTCGGCGATTTTTCCTAGATGGTCCACAAAGGCCGTCACGGTCTGAAGTGCTTGCTCTCTACCCTTATCCTTCACGACGAAACATTGGGGTTCCTCATAACCTAGGACATTGCTGGCAACGCTGATACTCAACGGTTGGTGTTCAGCGGTATACTCGAGCTTCTCCCTTTTTTCGGGGAGGTTAGTACCATCGCCAGGATAATACACCTCAATGTCAAAGGTGGCTCTGTACTAAGAATACTTCAGCTCTTGTGCAAAGGAGATGCCTTCTTCAAAGATGGTTTTGGAGAGATGAAACACTCCGCCGTAAACTCTGTTGACTTGGCAACTTTGCTCGTGAGCATTGAGACGATAGGCTTTTGGAAGAGATGCATTTCAAGTATAACATTGACTGTATTTCTCTAGGTGCTTTATGTAACTGAAGTGGTCATTGTACAGGTTGAGTCGGAATGCTTCCTGGCTCTGTTGTTTAGATAGAATGTCAGCCAGACAGTGAACCAGCTCCACTTTTTGATCTTCCCCCAAAGAATAGATAAACGTGTGGATGCCAAAGAGTTTATCCAAATTGTGCAAATCCCTCAAATGCACACCTGCGAAACTCTCCAGATTCTCCAGCGTAGTAAAGTAGCGAGAAGCCAATTCTTTGGTCTTTCTTCCCAAGTTTTTGAAACTGCAACCATGGTGTCGTGCCAAGCATTGAAAATAGTACAAGTTGTCAGCATATAACTTGCCAGTCTCTTGGTCTATTTCTAGTGCATCCAGACCTCAATTCTCAATCAGCCACTCGGGCAACTTGCCTTTCTCTCCCCGCCCTATAGGTCTGTCCTCCAGAGGGTATACATGGAAGGTGATGCTGGTTAGGAGTGCGACCCGCCACTTGCTGTTGGGCTTCTGTTGTCTGACGTACTCAAGCTAATCCACTTCTCCCACGCGCTGTAGATCTTCCTCGTCAGCGACAACCAGAGGTTGGTCAAAAATGAAACCATTTTGCGAGGGATAGTAATATCTCTTCTCTCCCGTTTCAACGTTGCTCAAAATAAACCCAAACGATATGCTTATCTTGAAAGCACTGCTTTGGTCACAGAAGATGGCATGAAGCATGTCACCAATGTCCTTATCCTTCTTCCGTCGCTGAGTGTACACTTTGATAAGTTGTCCACCACGTTGACCTGACTGGATCTGATGCCATTTCTCAATATAGCACTGCTGACAATCCTCTGGTAAGCTAGCAGCCAAGTCGGGTGGACACTCTAGGGAATTGTTGTGTAAATCATACACTGGCTCTTCTGGTTCTGCGGAAGGTGGTGCTGCTGGTAGTGTTGGTTGGTACATTTTCAGGTGTTCTCCATAACTGGCTTTGTAGTGGAAGCTCTCCTGACAAAACTATATACCGGGTATGTGTACTTTTTGCGCTTTAACATATGATTAACCTGTGTGGTTTTCACAATTCATATTGCACTAGTTCTTCTCGTAAAAAAAAATCCATTTATAAAAAATAAAACTATTTCTGTTTCAATTTTTTAAAAGAAAGCTCTTGACCATTCCAGTATTATAGACACCCTTTAGTGTCACGTAACATGAGCATGTTGCTTCCATTTTCTATGAGTAGAGTAGAGTAGAGTAGAGTAGAGTAGAGTAGAGTGCGTAGTGTAGAGAAGAGTAGTGTAGAGTAGAGTAGAGTAGAGTAGAGAAGTGTAGAGTAGTGTAGCGTAGAGTAGAGTAGAGTGCGTAGTGTAGAGAAGAGTAGTGTAGAATAGAGTAGAGTAGAGAAGTGTAGAGTAGTGTAACGTAGAGCAGAGCAGAGTAGAGTAGAGTAGACAAGAATATAGTAGACAAGAGTATAGTAGACAACAGTAGAGTAGAGTAGAGTACTGTAGAAGTATAGTAGAGAACAGTGGAGAAGAGTATAGTAGAAAACAGTGGAGCAGAGAAAAGTAGAGTGTTTGAAAATTGGGGATAAGTTAACTAATGCCGAAGGAGTACTATAGAGTAGAGTAGGAGTAAGATTCTTTTGCTATACGCCTCTGCAGCTCTGGGGCTCTACTGCTGTACGAGTTCTAAGGCTCCAAGAATCTGAGGCTGTACGAGTTTTAAGGCTCCTACGGTTGTACGGCACTACGGTTTTTGAGTTATTTTTTGTAAAAAATACCTCTTAATCGGCACGTCGGGTATGTTACAGGTCAATGGGTGAGTGAGTGAGTGAGAGATGTATGTATGTCACACCAATCAGATTGGATCTACTATAAACAGCCAATCAAATTTCTTGTTGTGAAGGTA